GCATTAGTATTTTTTGCATGAAACATTTGCGAGCTAAATTCTACTTTAAAATTCATGAGTTCATATAATGTAATTCTATTGAGTTGAATATTTAAATAATAAGTTATTACCTTAAAGTAGACTAAATAGAAATTTAGTTAAAATTCAAATATTTAATATAATCATCTTTATTGGTAGCCTTCCTTTTTTTTTTTTGGTAAATTAAACCTCATATAAAAGAATTTTAAATTTTCTCAATAAATATATTAAATTGAAATAAATAAAATTTCATAATAAGTTGAAATGCGTTCTAAATGATTTCAACAATCTCGTCATAGGTTACTACTCATGGTCAGTAATGACCTATGACATCAAATCTTAGTGGTTCATGGGTCCTTTTCAATTAAATTATGTCGATACATATTCCATGCTTGAAACATTCTTTAGTCCGAACATCATATTTTAGTCAGAACTGTTGTTGCATGAGCTTTAACTTGCGACGAAGAACCACTTGCAAGACGCAATTAAAATTTGAAACCGCTGACATAATGAGTTATACAAGAAGTGCATTATATAATTACTTGAAACAAAATATATTCTAATCAATTTGAAATCATTCAGTGACTCCCATGATTAATCAAGGTCAAACATAAACAACACATACAAGAGCTTCATTAGCTATCACATTTTTTTCTGGCTATCTAATTATGAGAAAAACATAAAATAATATAAAATAAATGATAAAATATTTTCATGCATCGGGAATGGGAGGCTGAAACAGGTATAATACATATATATCTATATATATATATATATTACCCCTTTAATTCAGTTCCGTACCAAGTTAAATTTTTTTAGAATTTAATTTCAAGACAAAATAAATATATTTTTTATATATCTCCTCTCTTTTTATCATTATACTTAAACATGAATGTTTAAGTATTATCAATGTACAATAAGGAGGAGTATAACTAGCTAAATTAAATAAAAAATGAATTTTTAAACTCCAGTTAAACTACATAGTTATTTTTTTCTTATTTCAGTTCTATCATATAAATATTAGTGCGATGAAAAACTTGTACGTAAGTTGTAATCCACTGCATTATAAATTTTGTTTAAATAAAAATATAAACATGTTTGTAAATATTTCATATATTATAATATTTCCATCTTCATTACATATATTGGTATGTAAATACCGATCCTTTTCTAGTAAAAAACTGAAGAGAATTCAAAATTATATGTATATATATATACACACACACACTCAAAATAACTTCAATCCTAGTAATCACTTCAAAGAAGACCTCGAATTTTAAAATTCATTAGTTTATTTTATCTTATTACATACACTATTATTTGTGAGTATGAATGCCGTGCAGCCTGCATAATTTAATTTTGAGTCTCATGGCCATTCTAGTTAGTTAAATATTTAAATAATAAGTTATTAATTTTAAATAGATTAAAAATAAATTAAGTAGTTAAAAATTAAATATTTAATATCAGCGTCTCTATTAGGGAACTTATGTAACTAAATAATTTTTTTGGATAGTTAACTGGTTTTTAAATTTCATCGCTAAATAAATTAAATAGTAATTTAACTGGCTTTTAAATTTCATCGCTAAATAAATTAAATAGTAATAAATGAAAATGGATATAATCTCATAAAAATTTGAAATGTACTCATAATGATTTCGAGAATCTCATCATGGTCAGCAATGATCAAAGACACTAAATTTTAGTGGTTCTTGTGTCATATTCAATTAAACTAAATTATATAATTTTGTATATTAAATAAATTAATAATAAAATTCAGAACTTCTAAAAAGTATAAGATTCAAATTCAATTAAAAAATTACCAAATGTAGCCCACAAAATTGAAAGAGAAATCCAATAGAAAATTAGATTCAAATTAGTTTAAATTATACAATAATATCTAGATTTAAAAAAATTAAATAAGTTAAACTATTCATAGAACGTTTATGTTAACTTGAAATGAGCTAAATTTTTTATGAGAAATTTAGCATGAACGTTTGTACTTTTTGTACGTATTGTTAATTTTGAGCAAAGTAGCACTATTTAAGTTTTTTGTTTGATAAAATTTTCAAGAATATCTCCATTATTTGAAGTTTATTTCATGGAAGTTCCTCATCTCAGTAAAAAAAAATCATGTTGCTGAACATTGTGTATGAAACAAGTCATGGTTTGATTTGAAATAATAATATATTATTTTGTCATATTTTAGTTGTATATACTGTGATTTGAGACAAGAAAAAAATTTCTAACCCACATAATTCAAACATATTGCTCTTGTGAAAAGGTGTTGGAGGCAACATCAGTTATCTCAGCCACATGCCATCAGTTATAAACAACTATTGTTGTTTGCTGCTTTGTCGCCCCCTTTCGTCAGCCACCAAATTTCGCTTGTAAGCTTCCTTGATTAAAAGTTGAAACACTCCATTTACAAAATTATGCCGATGACTATTTCATGCTTGATTAGTCTAAAAAATCATAATTTCGCCAGAGTTATTGTTGCATGAGCTTTAACTTGTGACTAGAAACCCATGCAAGCCATATTTAAAATTTGAAACTAATGACATAATGAGTTATCCAAGAAGTGGAGCATATAGCTACTTAAAACAAAATAAAGTTTAATCGATTTGAAATCATTTAGTGACTCTAATGGCTAATCATTGTTGACCTCATTTTTAAATGTGGTCTATTTTATACTTCTCTCTAGCACCTAGGATCTAGCCTTAGGCTTCCTTAATGGCTCTCTTAGAAGACAAGTGAAGAAACCAACGCTAAAATAGAATTTCAAACATTTCTTTACATTTTATGGTTTTGATATGCTTGACTTTAAACCCTCCTCTGGTTGAGTTCAACAAAAGCAAGTCATTGAATTTTTTAATTTTAGATATTAATGTATAATTTAAACAAATTTGAATTTAATTTTATTAGGGATTTCTTTTCCATTAGGATTTAGTTGGCAAAATTTGAAAAATTGTTTTCTTTAATTTGAATTATTATTCATTTTACAATTTTTTAATTTTATTATTAATTTATGTAATTTATAAAAGTGGATTATTTTAATTTAATTGAAAGTGATCGATGAACCACTAAAATTTTTTGGTGTCATAAGTCATTACTGCACAAGTCATTACTGATAATGAGATTATATTATATTCATTAGTGATAAAATTTGGTGTCAAAATCATTAAGGGTGCAATTCAATTTATCATGAGATTATATTTATTTTTATTTTTTATAATTTAATATACTTACTTTTTATGATTTAATATACTTATTAAGCAAATCTAAAATGCATTTAAATGATGCTTAATTTACCCAAAAAAAAAATTATCTAAGACCCTAAATAATCTAATTTTCACAAAAAAAAGAAGGCTGCCAATAAAGATGATTATAATAAATATTTGAATTTTAATAAATTTCTATTTAATCTATTTTATGTTAATAACTTATTTTTTAAATATTCAACTCAATAGAATTACATTATATAAACTCATGAATTCTAAAGTAGAATTGAGCTCGCAAATGTTTCATGCAAAAATAATGTCATTTTAGCTTTATACGAATATCCTCTTAAAATTCTTCCCTCTTAATGAGAAGTATACCGAATAAAATAATGTGGATTTTTTTAAATACCAAATAAAACAAGAAAAAAGCTATTAATCAAATTCTTCTCAATAATAGTTCGCATTCCTTTTCAAGTGCATAATGCGTTAGATATTGTGCGATGAATATGCAAATCTTTATTGTTTGCATGATTTAAAGAAATAAAATTTTGAACTTCTTGCTAAAATTTTGGGTTGAAAGGGCCAAGCAGTTCTAAAATATATCCTAAAAAAGCGGAGAGTTAAACCCTTAAAAAATACGTCTTTTTGCCACGACATCAAGTTTGGAGGCTTGCTATGATCCCAAAGAAAATACTAAACTTCTCACTAACTTTTTTTCATCTAAACCTTAAATCTCTCCTTCTATCTCTCTCTAAGATACTTCCTATAAATCAATCATGGGAGTTGCCATCTTAACCACCAAAGAGAGAAAATTTTTGAAGAAAAAAAATTCTAACCGAGAAGAAAAGCAAAAGGGATTAGTTGTTTATTCTCCACAATGAATCACACGACTCTTGAGCTCCAATCATTCAAACTTCATCTTACCATCCCCCTGAATCGACGATTCCGTCTCCCACAAAGAATGACATTAGTATACCTTCCTAGAATTAATGAAACTCCATTGACCGTTAATGGCGCCAACATCCCTGCTAATAAGGAGGCTCTGATCGAACTTTGTCGCGTTCGATCAATAACATATCTCAGAAAAGCAAAAAGGAAGCCAGACTTTGCACATACATTCCTTGTCCTAAATGCTATATATAAATATTATAATGAGAATTAAGATACGGGAAATGTGCTTATGCTCCTGGTCCTCGCCACATGGTTTAACACTCAAGTACCTCGGAACTCATGTCTGTATTTTATTTTTGCTACAACCTCAGTCCTAGGACTCTAAAAAATACATAATAAAGCCAAAACCAGACTTGAACTACAAGGAAATCAAGTTAGTTTAAAAGCTATCTACATGCAACATGGTGATCTACGCCCGGTGGGAGGAGAGCTTAACAATACTTACAGAAAGGTGTTAGCATAAATCATTATAGCTCCTGCCTATTGGACATGACTTCTTGTGATAAAATTGCCCCTAAGAAGACATGGCCAAATCAAACCCCACAACATGGTGGGAGAGGAAGAAGGAGCAGCCATCATATTTTATTTTGAGAATATGTATGTATGTATGTATGTATGTATGTATAGTCACGGGAGTTGCCGTCTTAACCACCAAAGAGAGAATATTTTGGAGAAAAAAAATTCTAACGGAGAAGGAAAGCAAAAGGGATTAGTTGTTTATTCTCCATAATGGATCACACGACTCTTGAGCTCCAATCATTTAAACTTTATCTTACCATCCCCCTGAATCGACGATTCCGTCTCCCACAAAGAATGACATTAGTATACCTTCCTAGAATTAATGAAACTCCATTGACCGTTAATGGCGCCAACATCCCTGCTAATAAGGAGGCTCTGATCGAACTTTGTCGCGTTCGATCAATAAATATCACTCATGAATCAGATGTCGTGTTTGCAAGTTCAGATCAAGTCTGTATTGGCAATGGGATTCGTTTTGAGGTTTGGATCGATGGAAAAAAAGCTCTACAAGGGATTTTCCGACGAGGTGCAAAATGGGAGATGGGCTGTGATGAAGTCAACCTGCCGAAATGGGCAGAGATAAGCGTGGTGACAAAGCAAGGGCTTTTGATGCGAGAGCTGATGAAGCTAAAGAGAAAAAGATTTCATTCTTCGTTGTTGGTAATAAATGAGGAAGATGAGATTGAGCCAGAAACTAAGAAAAATGAGATGGGAGGATTTGATGGTTCCGATCAAGTGAAGGAAAAGAGGAAGGAAGATGGAGATGGAACGGCGAGAATAAATATTAGTTGGGCATTAAATGTGGGAGTTTGGGTAGCATGCATAGGAGTTGGGCTTTTTGTTTCGAGATCTTGTTTGAAGAGATTTGTAGGCATGAAATAATTTTGAGAATATGTATGTATGTATGTATGTGTGTATGTATGTATGTATGTATGTATGTATGTATGTATGTATGTATGTATGTATATATGTATGTATGTATGTATGTATGTATGTATGTATGTATGTATGTATGTATGTATGTATGTATATACACACACACACACACACACACACACACACACACACACACACACACACACATACATAT